TGACCCTTACAGTACATCCTTGAGCTGCCATACAACACAGTGCAGGCCTATCTAATTACATATTTCAGCTTTGTCATTCTACAGTGATTCATGCAGCTTCTTCTGTCATTCAGCAATAAAGTTAAAGGTTGGGTTCAGACCCAAGTGAAATAATAGATTTTGCAGTGATTGAGAAGTGGATTATCTAGAAGTAGCATGTTATTGAATTTGTCTGCAAATTACAGACAATTTCCTTGAGGGTATATTCAAATCATAAATTCAGCCATGCAATATTATAATGGGACTTGTATCTTCCAACAAATTAAAAAGAAATCTTACATTTAAGTTCTTTGACACAGCATAATTTACAGCTATTTGGTACCCTAGCTTGAAGCTGGAGACAGGAATGTCTGTGGATTGTTTTGGTCAGTATAGTTGGATGGGGCAAAAATACAGGGCAGAGTTGCAGGCCATTTGGGAATGCAAGAAGATTTGAGGCATGATGGGTCTTCGAGGTGAGCATTGGCTCGGGCTGCAGCTTCAGGTGAGGCTGAATCATTAGCTGCTTGTGGGTCAAGAAGGAAAAGTGCTAAACTTAAGTTTTGGTGCAGATCTTAAATCTGGTATAAGGAAGTAAAAAGATTGTGCGGACATGGCTGCAGCTAAGTCCTGATTTGGAGATCTTGTGGGAATGGCTGTAAATTGTTCCTGGCTTTGGTTGGAAGGACATAGCTGGGAAATTTTCCACATTGTCTGCTAGATGTTAGTGTCATCTGTATTCGAACAGCTTGCCACAAGGTTCAAATTTCCAAGTCTTCATTATGGTAACCAGAATGATGTGGATCCCAAAGCCTCTTCCGCATCTGGTCAACTCCTTGCCATGTGGAGTAAATCCAGTCCAATTTAAGCAATTTGCTGAAGACTGTCATGTGTGTTAATAGGCCCCTCAGGAGGGCAGTGGAAGATAATCCAACATGGAGAGCTGGTAAAACTTACGAATGATGCATACTGGACTTGTATACCAGTAGTATGCAGTATGTTCTTCAACCAAGGATTTTGAGGCTGGCGATTGACTTTGAAGAATCCAACAAATGCTAACCTGCATACCCATTTGTTACCTTAGTGATGTTCTGTGATTTCACATTGTCTGACGTGTTTTCTGTGCAAATGACATGGTAAACTGTGTATCTCACTAGCCAGATGAACGCAGACTAAGCTAAAAGAGATTGCTGAATTTTTCCAAAGCCAGTGCCCATCCCTTTTTTCAATGCCTGTTATCAGGTCAGGCTACGTGGACAAATTGAAAAATAAAGACGTTTTCACATATCTGCTGCATCACTGCTTTTAAATTTTTTTTTTGATTGTCATGTTCTTGCCTACACACGGGTCTCCTTGGTTATCTTGAAGCTCCACTTAACGTACATTGGAGGAAAGACTCCTACAACTCAACTAACTTTGATGTTACTGTGACTCCTTAGTTGGGCTTTCCTAACAGCTGTGGTCTCAATTCCTGGCTAAACAGTTGGGCTGGAGCTCCTCCACCAGTGAATGTGCGATCAGTAGACTGGAGTTGGGACTTCTCCCCATTTTGAGAAAAGCAAGTCCTGCCTCGAAGAACTGCTGACCGTTCAGAAGCCCACCAGGAATGGTGGCCTCTGCCAGTACACAACTTGCAGCTGGAAGAGACTTTAAGTTCTGGCAGGCCCCGTGAGGCAGTGAATGATAGGGGTTTTGAAAGGCCATGGCGGATAGGAAACCTGGGGAGAGGCTGAAGCAGATGGGGTGGCACAGTGGCTCAGTGGTTAGCACTGCTCCCTCACAGCGCCAGGGACCCAGGTTCGATTCCACCCTTGGGCGACTATCTGTGTGGAGTTTGCACATTTCTCCCCGTGTCTGTGTGGGTTTCCTCCGGGTGCTCTGGTTTCCTCCCACAGTCCAAAGATGTGCAGGTTAGGTGGATTGGCTGTGTGAAATTGCCACATAGTGTCCAGGGATGTGCAGATTAGGGGGATGGGTCTGGGTGGGATGCTATGAGGGCTTGTTGGGCTGAAGAGTCTGTCTCCACACTGTAGGGATGCTATGATTCAAAGGTTTGGGAAGCTTGTTCACAAAGGGCCTCTCTGTCCATTACTAGCCCACGAGGGGGCAGCCAACCTGGCTGAGTGCTTGCAGTGGGCCTCTGCCACAACCAGTTAAATTCCAGTAGAGGCAGGATAAGACCCTTAAAAAGACAAAGGGGCAGGGGCAGGGGCAGCTCAAAAAAAAATGGACTCACTGCCCACTTGACTTTACTCGCTTAAGTCTAAAGATATGGGATAAACCATATAAGACTAGTATGAATAGAAATACCACCCAAACAGTAGTGACCCTGTGGAATTCACCACAAAAGAGCTGAAGCCAAAATATTGTAGGATTTCAAGGAGTTGGATAAAGCTCGAGGGACAAAAGGAAATGGGAGAAAAGCAGGAACGGATTATTGTCTCAGATCATTAGCCATGATTGAAATAAATGGAGCAGGCTTGAATAGCAAAATGGCTTACTCTTGCTCCAATTTTTCCCCTCACCAGTAGTTCCTCATGTCAGTGAATATTTGATCATTGAAAAGCAGGATGTTGTTTTCAGCCCATGGAATCCAAACCATTTTGTTGAATGGTTGTTTCAAATTGCTAACAGTTATCAGAGATGTGGTTTATTGTACTGCATTGATGTGTTTGGATGACTAATGTTTGTTAATAAAATTTTAAGAAGAAGCTTGTATATTGAACACCGAACTGCATGTAAACTGATTCCTCTGGTAAGTCAGCCAGTTAATCGTTTAAACCAGATTCACTTAAGCTCAGGATTTTGTAACATTATCTTACATCTTTGCTGACTATTAACACCATTTGGAGAATTAGATAGTTCAATGGAGCCTAAGGATTGGATGTAAAGTTGGCAAAGTAATCAGTTAGGTGTAGATCCTAACTTCACTGTCAATGCTGTACACTAAATTATGATTGACAGTATATAATGGAATTTTTTTTTCTTCAATGTGCCCATAACAAAATCTGGCAACTAAATTTGAATTCAGCAACTCTTCAAAAATGAATTTAAAATTGAACCGTGTGGCCTGCAATCTATTTTCAACATAAGTGGTCAAAAGAAGAAAAACATTCAAATAATAAACTAGCTTTCTTTGCAAGCATAATAAAAGAAAACCTTATGAGCCATGCCTACAGGCATGGTTTGTTTATTTTTATTAGCAAAGAGAAAATAGTCTCCCAAGTTCTCTGAGAGCAGGATACTTTGAAAAAGGATAAGAGCAATTTCCAATATCCTTTTAAGGAACACTTTTGATTATTATATACTCTGAATAGTGGACTAATCTGATTTCAGAAATCTGGATCTACAATTAATGCTTGCATAACTTGTTATATTTGTATTAGTGCATCTCTAGACTTCAGTTCAATGTTCCCAGCATGTAGGAATGAAGTGAACCAATGTTTCAGTGAGTAGTTTATTGGAGTTTTATTAATTGTTAAAGCATGAGACAAATCTCTGCAACTGCAAATTGTGGCAAATTATAGATTGCACGTTCATAGTAGATAAGTCCTACATAGGAATATGCACTGAAACCATTGGTAGAAGATTACTTTGAAAACCAAGAACTATAATATCCTTCACTGTCAGGTACTGATTTAATGTAACAAGTACTGAAATGTTTTCTAGTTGTACTAAGTAGGCTGTTTGCCTATAAATCTAAATTAGAGGCTGGGTTAGTATAATATTGTTGTATCTCCCAGATCTAGGAATATATTTTGACCAAAAGATCCAGATGATAGGAGTTAAAATTGAATTAGTAAAAGAAACAATTAATGCCTAAAAGAGTTGTGGTGGTAATGTCGCTGGCAGAAGCTTATGCCCAGGGTACACCAGTTTGAATCCACCATGGTAACTGGTGGAGTTTGAATTTAGTTAATACGTTCAATTCATTAATTTAAAAACAAAATCTGGAATTGAAAATTCCTGATTGTTGTAAATCCCATCTAGTATATCTAAACGTCCTTTTAGGGAAGAATGTTTGCCACACCTATCCCACATGTGAATCCAGACCCACAGCAATGTGAGATAACAAGGTGTAGAGCTGGATGAACACAGCAGGCTAATCGGCATCATAGGAGCAGGAAGGCTGACGTTTCGGGCCTAGACCCTTCTTCATGGTTGACTCTGAAGTGCCCCCTTAAATGGTCTAGTAAGCTGCTCAGCTCTAGAGCAATTAGGGGTGGGCAACAAATTCTGGCCTTCCCTGTGCCACCCACATTATATGAAAAGATTAAGCAAAAGTCATGTTAGAAGCTGTTGAAACAGATCACCATTTTTGCAAAGAAAATACTGAATAGAATTGAACTAATTCCTGAGTCAGAGGATGGGGCGGAAGGGTTTAGTTTTAGGCCTTAAGATGAGAAATTACTAAAATCCATATTGAAATAGGATCACCGTAAATATTTGGTCCACAGATTAGTGCTTGCATTTCCTAGCTTCCAAACAACTTAGAGGGTAAATACTGCAAATGTTTCAGTTCTTACTTCTGCATTAAGACAGATCTGTCCTAAGTAGGTTTTGGAGGCAAATTGCAGTTTTCTGAATGCCAACAATCAGAACTCTTGATGTGCTATGTCAAATCAGTGATGCAACTCGTGGGTGAGATTGAGCATTCCTTTTCCTTTTGTTACTTGGAGTACCTAATACACTTGTTTCAGGATAAAACCATGGCTGAAATTGTATACTGCCTAATTCCCAGATTCTCTCCTGATGTTGCTTCAGTCTTCTCCTAGGCTAATATAGCGCCTGGAAAAATTTAAATAGATTTTAATTATTTATTGATTGTAAATGCAGTTTCATGTCTAATTTCATATCCAGCAGATTTTACGTCCATTGAAATAGATTTGGTGTTTTTTTTTTACACTGTGTAACAAAATTGTGTTTAAAATATACTGTTGCCCCCAGCAACATCCTCACACTTTATTAATTCTCTTTAACAGCTCTGTAAGCTACACAACACTACCATCATTTGCTGACAACTATTACCATCTATCAAGATTACATGTCCTTGAAAATTAAAGTGATCATATTAACCTAATTATTACTCTAATCTATGCTAAATTTTGGTATGACACAGATGTACTACTTGACTTTGCCTTCATTATGCTTCCCAGCTTGATCTTGCCCCTCTTAAATAGTCGATGCCTGCATGGCGGTAATGTAATATGATTGATCTAGTGCTTTTCTCATGGAAATTATGATCTACATCATGTTCAAGTAAATTATTCAGACAACAGCAGACAAAATGCAAGTGAAAAAGCTGATGTTTTGAAGGTAAATAATGTTTTGCATTTTTGTCCTAGCTGTAATAAATACTACCAGCTGTCCATTGTGTGGTTGCACTTTCTGAATATAAGGACACTTGGAGAAATGGTATATTCATGGGAAATAGCAGCCAATCGGGCATGAATTGAGATTGTTCCAGGGAGTCAGAATTAGTAAATGACTTGCTTTGTATTCTAATGTGTTAAAAAATTCAGAAAAGGCAGTTCTTAGTTTGATAAATGGTAAGTGACCCTAAAAACATAACTATAATGACAATTTTGAGTGACGTTGGCCTGAAATAACTCCACAAACACTGGTATCCCATCACCTTTGTTTACGCATGCATAACACATGACACAGATCCAGCTAAGTCAGAGCTGGCTCCTAGAGCGAACAGAATCCCTGACACTCCTGTGGTCCACCTAGCTGACCTTGTTTCAATCACTATAGGCCTCAGTGTGGTAATTGGTGCTGTATACAGTTCCAAGAAAGCTGAAAGGGAATCGTTCCCCCATTTGCTTTGCATATGTAGTACCAATTTATATTGGATCTCTTTCATCCTTATTTTCAACTGACTTTGCAGTTTGTGATTATTGTTGCATCATGACATATGCTTGATGTCACAGCATCTGGGTGCACATACATATAGTTTGCAACATTGACCAATATTGAAAAATATGAGATGAATTATTTTTGGGAGGCCTTTGGGTGATACTCAATGTATTTGAACATTGAGGATTGAGGAGGAAAAGACCATGTTTGGGAAGTGAATGTTTGAAATTGGAAGTTAGAGTAATTGCTTCCTTTTTAATTTTAAAATTTCTATTTTACTTGCCAACGTTTGTTTGTTTGTTTGTTTGTTTGTTTGTTTGTTTGTTAGTTATAATGTATTCGACAGCTTCCACAAACTAAAGTGAAAACATTTGGAGCAGAAGTAAAAATCCCATGACAATGGGAAGCTAGCCAGTATACAATGTACAAATCTATTTCTCAAAACATCTCAATTTCCAGATTGGGGAAAGAAGAAAATCTGTTTGTACAGTCATTTGCCACTGCAAGTTACCTCTGTTACCCAATATCTATGGTCAACAAAGAGCAGTATCAGTCATTTAACAGTGTTACGTGTTAATTTTAGTAAGGTCACACTTCTGTCAGACTGCATGTGCATTGTATCTGTAATCGTGATATTGTGCAGGATTTGTTATGATGGGGTGTACATGTTTGCTATTGGCTATTCATCTGATATCCGCTCACTACTAGGGTGATGTTCTCTCTCCAGGTAATGTTCATGTGGTAGGAGCTGATGCTGTAGTATGTTACTGCTGATCACTTTCTGTTGTTGGGAAATGGTGAATCTTTAGCATGTTCTATACTACATGCAGTGTTGTGCTCACATCCTCTTGATCAGCTGCCTACAGTAAAGGAAAGGCAGTTGTAATGATATATATCTGGTTGTTCACTGTCACTGCACATGATCAAGGTGACAGCTGCTCTATGCAGGCCCGGAGATGCCACGTGGACTCAACTGTTGTTGAGAGCGTTGAAAATTTGCAATCTGGCTTTCCAGTGGTCAGTTTTGACAACCATGTGCCAGTTTTATCAAAGTGAAATTTGTTTTTTGTCACTTCGCTTTGAATTTGTCACTCATACCAGTTACTACTTGAAGCTTCAGTAGTTTGGTTTTGGTGATTGGAAGAGAATTTTGGGTGTGGCATAAAATTAGTCTTTGATCTGTACTACTTTCGATGTCTTTGGAAGGCATATATTTCTCCACTTAGGGTTGCCTTATAAAGACAGCACTAGATTTGATTTACTTATGGTATCTTTTATTGATCCCACAGCCAGCTCGGCCTTTGCTTTTGAATGGACATAGTGAGAGGATGACATTATTGTGTTGACTTTCCCAATTGTTTAGTGGATTGAGGGCCATTTGTCACTCGGCACAGTGTTTGGAGTGACTGAAGCATACTTTCAGACATTCTACAAGCCCTCTGGTAGTTATGGCTTGCAACACAATTATTGGCAATGTTCTTCTGTTTGCCTTGCTTGTAAGCCAGATGATAGCTTTTCAAAGGAATCAACATTCTTCAAAGATGTCGAACAGCTGCAAGTGTTTTGAGGACAATTCTCTGAAGTAGCTTAACATTGGACTCCACTATCACTGTCTTGCCCAAACATGTGTTGATTAAAATGCTCACAAACTAAGATAATAGCTAGGAACTCGTGCTGTTGTTTAGGTTTTGCTTACTGTCCTGAATGCAAGTACAAGTGGTTGCCTTTGCTACATAGGGATAGCTTCAAGTCCTGTCTTGTTGGCATAATATTGCAAGGTGACTTCATTATTAAGATCATAGCACCTCAGCACTGCTGTTGTCGTCAATCATTATTTGATTCTGGTGAAAACTGCTTCTTATTCTCTGCCCCATACCACTGAAAATCCGTAGCAACAAGCTGGTATAACTGTTCAGACGCTGATGACAAATTAGTCAAAAATTTTGGATAGTTCACAAATCCAGCAAATTGTTTCACTGCTTTCATGTCTGCTGGTTTGCTGCATCACTACTACAACTTTCACCTTTTTTCAGGATCTGGAGAAAGGAGAATGAAAAATTTCTTCACCCAGAGAGTGGTGAACCTATGGAGCTCTCTTCCATAGAAAGTGATTTGAGGCCAAAACATTGAATATTTTCAAGAAGTTAGATAGATATAGTTTGTAGGACTGAAGGGATCAAAGGGTATGGGGGAAAAGCAGGAACAGGGTACTACTGAGTTGGATGGTCACATATAATTGTATTGAATGGCTGAGCAGTCTTGATGGACTGAATGACCTACTCCTCCTAGTTTTTATGTTTCTAAAGTTGTCTTTCTGTCAGCGCACTTATCTCTAGGCATCTTCAACTGCATCTGTTTTCTTGTTCAGATTCTCTCTACCTCTCTTTAGCAATCAGACTCTATTCTGATTTTGGTCTGCAATGGCTTATTCCATTGTTTTCCACATCCATAAGACAAGCAGGTTATTCACAATCCAATGACATAGTTAAAAAACCAACGTTGTGGTTTTAAAAGTAGGCTGTTAAGAATGCTTGTATATAACATTGTCCTGAGATTCTGTGTCCATTGAAATTCCTGATGCTTTCATGTTGCTAGAGGTTACCTGGCTGTTAGTGCAAAGATGTGCAGCTTAGGTGGATTGGCCATGTTAAATCGCCCCGTAGCATCCAGGGATGTGCAAGCTAGCTGGGTTAGCCATGGGAAATGCAGGGTTATGTGTTTAGAGTGGGCGGTTTGCTCTTTGGAGAGTCAGTGTCACCCAATGGGCTGAATGGCTTCTCACTGCACTATAGGGATTCTGTGACTGGACTATGACTGACTATCTTGGGGAAGATTACAACCACTGACTATCTTATGCTGCCTCCATTGATGCTTTTTTGGAGCATGTGCTTAGAAAAGTGATGCTTTCATTCAGCTTCACTACTGGTAACCATCCTGTACATTGAGGGTAGGAAAAACTTTTGTTGTAGCAAATTTTCTTCGAACATAGAACATAGAACATAGAACATAGAACATAGAACATAGAACA